TTTTGTTTGGCGTTTGTAGTTCTAAAAATAAAGTTAGTTTCTTTTTGACAAGTGGCTCCTGAATTGTGCCCAGGCAGACTGCGGCACACCAGGGCTGCCAGTAAGAGGGAAACACATGTGTCAGGGGTCATGGGTATCTGGTTTGGTGAAGAGAATTGTGAACTGAAGCATACATTTATGAACAGAGATAATTTCCAGCATATAAAAGATATGTAGGGAATGAAAACACCCCAAAGTCACTTCTCAGCTTAAGCAGTCAACCATGAGTGCGATTTGTATGTGAATCTTTCAAGTTTATAACCATTTGTGAAACACTGACTTGCTCAGGCAATGGAGATCCTGCTGACTTTTGACAAAACACCACTATCACCTTTTCAACTAAAAGCACTTTTTCCTCCAAAGATCCTCCACAGACCCATGCCTTACAAAGCCTCTTTCCTTTCCAGGTTCAACTTTCGGGGATTCCGCTGGATGAAAACCATGATCCACACGATCAAGGAGATTAACCAGAGGAAGGATATTTTGCCCAGTATCACTCTGGGCTATCAGATCTTTGACTCCTGTTCCACCATCTCCAAGACAATGGAGTCGGCCATGGTGTTCCTCACAGGGCAGGAAGAGAACAAGCCCAACATCAGGAACAGCACTGGGGCGTATCTGGCAGGAATTGTTGGATCAGGGGGGTCCTCCTTATCAATCGCTGCTTCAAGAATACTAGGGTTGTATTTCCTACCTCAGGTATTCAGAATATGATGCTGAGTATTTCAAAGAAGTAGAAATGGAGTGTGTGGAAACTGCAGCCCATGACAAGGGGCCTGGGGGCGGCTGGGCCAAGCTGCAGAGCCACTGCTGGCCCTATGTTAGCCAGCGAGTGAGGATGGGCAGCTACTAGAGGTGACCTGACATCTCACCAGGCACAATGCTCTGTGGAATTTCATAGTTGAGCAATTAATTGGCCTATTGATTGTTGGGTGCCATAAGATACTTATAATATAGGCATAAAATAATATATATAATATACTTATAATAGATACTATAATAGCTTATTATTCATGACCCTGTTCATACACTGACTTACTGAAATGGGACTGGGAATTCCACAAGATGAGTAGAGTTTTGGCATGCTGGCTTTATAGATTATTTTAAATTCAGAGAGAATGACACTTTTCAACATAAGAATAGATAATATTAGGAAGGAAGAATGGATTACTAAGAAAATACAAATAGAGCTCTATAATTATTTCTAAGGATGGCTCATTAAAGTATTAATAGTGGGACTTATTAATGTGAATGCTAAGTAAGCATATTTGTGTCCCTGAACTAATGAGAGAATTGGAGATAATTGTAAAAAGAATCATTTATACAGTCTCTCTTATACAGCCGAAAATATAAGTTTAGGGGAAAAGAAAAATACCGAGGAGCAGAACGACTAGGACTGATCAGGTGGCTAAGCCCAGCAAAACCTCAGCTGCCAGGAGCTGCCTGACCAACGTCGACCACAGGGTGAACATGACCGGTAAAGAGGACAGACTGTTCAGCATGCCAGATAAGCTCTGTACTGGACAGGAAAAGCTGAAAGACCTTAAAAACACCTATCTGGATGATGATGCCAGGCCAAACACAGACCAGAGGCCTCTACATGAAATTTCTCCCTTAATGTCTTGGAGTAAATCTGGAAAGAAGTGAAAAAGAAACTGTTACACTTTCACATTTGTTCTCATTCACTAATTTTTTTTTTTTTGTATTGGGGATTGAACCCAGGGGTGCTTAACCATGGAGCCACATCCCCAGCCCTTTTTACATTTTGTCTTGAAACAGAGTCTCACTGAGTTGCTTAGGGCCTTGCTAAATTGCTGAGGCTGGCTTTGAACTATTGATCCTCCTGCCTTAGCCCCCTGCCCAAGCCACTGGGATTACAGGCAGGCACCACTGCATGGGGCCTTATGCACTAAATTGAACAACTCAAAATCTAGATTACCATCATCTGAATTTCACTCATGGAGAAACCAAGACACAGAGGTTTAGGTTACTCAAATCTAAGTCTACCATCTCACACTGATGAATTCTAGGGTCAGAACTGGGAATCAGGTGTCTTCGCTTCTTAAATGAGGTTCTTTCCTACATTTGGCTTCTGTGCTGCTGCCTGTGTGGTTCTACAGGAGAATGTGGACTTCAGTCCATGAAGCAGGGACAGGGCAGAGGTGGAGCAGATGAACATAGCTGCGGTCTGGCCCTGTGGGGAATCCATAGGGTGGAGGTCTGAGATGAGAAGCAGAAGACCCTACTGGCGTGATGTGTTTGTCACATGAAAATAGGATAAGGGAGAATGTGACCTCGGCTCTTAAAGGCAGAGTCAGGGAGGTCAAGGGTCAGCTCCTGCAGAAATGCACAGGTCAGGCCTGGCCACCTGGCCTCCATTCCTGAGGGCCACTGATAGGAAACACATGTGAGGATCTCAGGCCAGAGGAGGAAGGAAGTCTGTGTGCATATAGAACGAGGATGGAGGGGTGGGCTCAGGCTAAGGCTAAAGTGGCACTTTTTACCACCTGTCTCAAGATGAGTCTTAGGACCACATACTCAGAAGTCTCAGCAGAAGGGACAAGGAAAGAGAAGAAGACATAAAGAAGGAAAATACAGTGAGGTTTGGAGGTAAAGTAGGCCTGCCGAATGGATTGAGCCTCGTGTGAGTGAGAAGTGTAGTCTGACAAGGAGCCCAGCTGTCCTGACTCAGGGGAGCATAGAAGGGTAGATGACCTCCCTTTTAGGGCCATGACTCCACCTGTGGAGAGCAGTTGCTGAACATCATCATCTTAAAAATTGGCCCCTCTAGCATCATGGGGTGGGCTAGGAGAAGGGTTTGTAGGGAGGACCAAGAGTTCCCTTCAGCAGTCCCCGTACTGAGCAGGGAGAGGAGGGATGTGAGGATAAAGGGAGGAGAGCTGTTGAGACCCCTCCCTTTCCATAAATATATGCTGAAAACGTGTGACTGGAGATTTAGCTACTCTTTTCTAATCACCGCATGGATCTTTTCAATTCCAGGTGGGCTACGCCTCTACCTGTTCCATCCTCAGTGACAAATTCCAGTTCCCGACTTACGTTCGCACAGTAGCCAGTGATAAGTTCCAGTCCATGGCCATGGTAAAGCTTATCCAGCACTTTGGTTGGGTCTGGGTGGGCACCATAGCAGGCGATGATGATTATGGAAAATACGGAGTAAAAATTTTTAAGGAACACATGGAGAACGCCAACCTCTGTGTGGCATTCTCTGAAACCATCCCCAAAGTCTATTCCAATGAAAAAATGCAAAGAGCCGTGCAGGCCGTAAAGAACTCCACGGCCAGAGTGGTCGTGCTTTACGCTTCTGACCTTGACCTCCATCCCTTCATGCTGGAGATGGTTCACCACAACATCACCCACCGCACGTGGATAGCGACCGAAGCGTGGATCACCTCAGCCCTCCTTGCCAAGCCCGAATACTTCCCGTACTTCGGTGGAAGCATTGGATTTGCAATTCCAAGATCTGATATACCAGGTTTAAAAGAGTTTCTTTACAACGTACACCCCAGCAGGGATCCAGATGATGTCCTGACCATTGAGTTCTGGCAGACTGCTTTTAACTGTACTTGGCCTAATAGCAGCGTTCCGTACAACGTCGACCACAGGGTGAACATGACCGGTAAAGAGGACCGACTGTACAGCATGTCTGATAAGCTCTGTACTGGACAGGAGAAGCTGGAAGACCTTAAAAACACCTACCTGGATGTGTCTCAGCTGAGGATCACCAACAATGTCAAACAGGCTGTCTACACCCTGGCACACGCCCTGGATCACCTGAGCAGGTGCGAGGAGGGGCAGGGGCCGTTCATTCCAGGAAACACTTGTGCGTACATACCTGACTTTGATCCTTGGCAGGTAAGCTGCGGCTTCACTTCATGAGGTAACTGGACAATTATAAGAATTCATGCTCTCAGCACTCTCAATAGACGTGATTTTACATCCTCAACTAAAACAATGGCTTGCTGGTGTCCTGAATGTGCCTTTTT